GACATTCAGGGGATTGACGGACAGGAGGGTCATGGTGCTACTATACGACAGTTGGGACGGGGTTTCTATGGCCGATCAAGATTTGGCTGCCGAAGGCGGAGGCGCCATGGCTGAGGAGGGGGGAGCGCAGGCTAGCAATCGCATAACAGGCGCGTCCCTTGGAGCTGTCCCCGTACCCGCAGAGGGCAGAGCTTTGCTCTGGGGAGTGGGGTTCGTGGGGTCGGAGAGGAGGCAAACGTGCAAGCGGGGGAGTCCAATGAGGGGGAGATCTGCCAGGTGGGGGAGGAGGGCAGCGGGTTGGGCAGCGTCCCAGTGGTGGTGGTGATCAGGATTGGCAGCCAGATGCCGACGACGTGGTGATCTCTCAGGAGCGGATGAATACCCTGCCATGCAGGTGGTGGTTCGCCCGAGAGGCGCAAACCCGGGTGGCCGACCCCGAGGGCGTCCTAGGGGCCGAGGATCAGCGGTTGAAGGGGGGGGTGGGGGAGCGGGGCGGCGTGCTGCGCGCGGCCGTCCCAGAGGGGCAGCAAGGGGACTTGGGCGGGCTGCAGAGGGAGGTGATGAGGTCGTTGCGGAGGATGCCCGAGATGGGGTGTTGGGCGACTCCCCCGTCGGCGGCGCAACTGGGCGCGGGGGAGGGCTGCAGGACCGGTGCAGGGCGGGTGAAACGGAGGCGGGTGGGTGAGGATAGCGAACCTGTTCCAGGCTACTAGGGTACCATCCCTGGCTTGATGCAGGGGATGTTTTACGAGCCGGAAGTGGGAGACTCCTCGCGTGTGTGCAAGGTATGCGAGGAGGAGTTCTACTGGGACCGGAGCAGTACGTCGACTGGATGGAAGCATGTGCGGGCAAAGCACATGCCTCACCTCCAGGTATGGCATCGCGAGTTTACAGCCCGGACAAGAAGCCCGACCTTGAGTTCCCCCCCGGCGGATACACGGGTGCTCCGGATGGGCCCGAGCCCTGGGAGCTTGTGGAGGCGTATCCTAACATCCCGGGGTTACGTGAGGGCACCGGGACACCCGCGACCGAGCGTGGGCAGCGCGTCATCGGCCAGTACTTCACGCGGCGGGTGTCCCAGGAGCGTCTCCGGCAGGCATTGGTCGAGCTGTTCGCCGATGCCTGCCTGCCCTTCCGCCTCGTCGACCGGCCCTCGGTGAGTCAACACACTAGGTGGTGCCTTTCAGCTGTAGTGCCTTGTCATATCGTCATCCGTCGTGTGCTGTGACCACATGCCTACGCCAGAGACTCAGGGTTCCTCATGGGCGTGTACCTGCCCTACCCCTAACCCCATCCCACCCCACCCCACAGTTCCGTCCATATACTGCACTCCTGAACCTGCCGGCCGCAGAGCTGCTCGGCTCTCGTTTCCGCCTGGCCCGTGACATGCTTCTGACTGGGGAGAGTGCGCGCGAGCAGCTGCACCAGGAGATCATGGGGGACGGGGCTGCGGGGAAGGTGTCACTGACCACAGACATTTGGTCCAGCCCTGCCCAGGATTCGTTCATGGCCGTCACAGCCCACTGGATCACATCGGACTTCCAGCTTCGAGTGGCGCTGCTGGAGTTTGAGGAGTTGCAGGGCTCCCAGACCGGCGTAATGATTGCAGATACCTTGGAGCGGATCATTGCAGACTGGGGCCTGAAGGACCACGTGCTTGGCATCACAACAGACAATGCCGAGAACAACGTGAAGGCCCTGAAGATCCTCACTGCCGATCCTCGCACCCCCCAAGCGCGGGCCGTCGCCGTCATCAACCCTCGATTCTTCTTCAGGTGCGTCGTTGTGGCATGGCATGCCATGCCACAGCACATGTCCAGCATGGCATGCCACATGTCCATCATGGCATGCCATGCCACATGTCCAGCATGGCACGCCATGCCACATGTCTAGCATGGCATGTCATCACATGTCCAGCATGGCATGCCATGCCACATGTCTAGCATGGAATGTCACATGTCCAGCATGGCATACCATGCCACATGTCTAGCATGGCACGCCATGCCACATGTCACATGTCCAGCATGGCATGCCATGCCACATGACTAGCATGGCATGCCACATGTCCATCATGGCATGCCATGCCACATGTCTAGCATGGCACGCCATGCCACATGTCCAGCATGGCACACCATGCCACATGCCATATGTCCATGATGGCATGGCATGGCATGCCACATGTCTAGCATGGCATGCCACATGTCCGGCATGGCATTCCACATGTCCGGCATGGCATGCCACATGTCCGGCATGGCATGCCATGCCACATGTCCACCATGGCATGCCATGCCACATGTCCAGCATGGCATGGCGCATGCACTTTATGGAGCACAGGTCGTGGGTCTTGGTTTAGACCTATCCTCCCACCCCAAACAACTCTCCTCCCCCCCAACCCACCTCAAGGTGTCTGGCACACATCCTAAACCTTGCAGTGCAGCGGGCTCTCGGGTTGCCAGCAGTGGCAGAGCCACTCCGCCGCATGAGGGAGCTCTCGTCTTACATTGGCTGGTCATCTACCAGGTCCCCCATGTTTGAGGCGGAGCAGGCGCTTGTGTTCCCACCCGGGACCCCGGTTCTCCGATTGGTCAATGACACCCCCACTCGCTGGGGGTCGTCTTACGAGATGGTTGCCCGCGCGCTGAAGCTGAAACCAGCACTGACACTCTTCTTCTCACGAGGTATTTGAATTTGTTACCATTTCTAGCTACTCGTCTCGTTCCACAGTCCAAGCCAAGCTCGTTCCCTGTTCTATTATAGTCTACCCTCTGCATGGTGTTGCTGATTTCCCCCACCTCCCGCCCCATTGTACCCCTCTCGCCACCCTCCCGCCCGCACCCCATAGGATGGTGTCCCCAGGCGGGCACGGGTGCAGCGGCCCGGTGCAAGCTAGGGGATGCGCACTGGGAGGCAGCTGAGGTTCTGGCCGAGTTCCTGAAACCATTCAATGACATCACCACGGCGGCAGAGGGGTCCTTGTACCCCACCGCCGCCGCGGTGGTGCCACAGTATAATCTCCTCATAGATACCCTCGAGGCCTCGTTCCACAACCCGGGAACCAAGGCGCTGCGCAAGGAGATGGACAGGGGGGGCTGGTGGTCCTGAAGAAATATTTCTATGGGATTAGTGACGAGTTGGCTGTGGCGACGTTCTTGGACCCCCGGTTCAAGAACGCCTACTTCAAGCTGAAGAGGTGGGAGGGGTCGAACCTAGGCATGAGCAACGGGTCGGGTCGGGTCGGGTAACCCGACCCGAACCCGTTTTTTTACGGGTCGGGTTCAAGTTCCCGTAGGAAGAACCCGACCCGTCGGGTTTGATTTTTCCCCGACGGGTCGGGTCAACCCGAACCCGACATCCCCGGGTTCGGGTTCAACCCGACATGTCGGGTTGACCCGACCCGACGTCGGGTATTTGTCGTCGGGTTGACCCGACCCGACCCGACCCGTTGTCGGGTCGCGACTGGACCCGTCGCAATTTTTGCGACCAGCTGCAGAGATGGCAAAATTTCGACCAAAAGGTCGAAATTTCAACCAGAAAGTTGTTTGTTCAGTTTCGACCTAGACTATGGCTCCTTCCTATCTAGCAAATTGGGTTTCCTAACGGTTAGTTTTGTAGTTTAAGCTGGTCCTTCTCATCCTTAGGCAGAAACTAAAGGCAAGTGAGGGAAGGAACTTAGTTTCTAGGGTGGAACGGGCCGCATTTCGCTGGTGTTTTGAAAATTTCGCAAGTAGGGCCGGTAAGGGAGCGAACGTTTTAGACAGACGCAAGTACGGTTGTAGTGCAGCCATCCAGACCTTTTACCCGCGAGTGGACATTGGGCCGATTAGGGTTTAGGGTTGAGGAGGCGACATGGACGCGGCGGTTCCAACAACACCGGCAGAGGGCGGACTGAGGGGGGAGAAGGCGGACCAGCGGGACATAGCACGGGCGGCGGGTCGCAGCATACGGGCGCTGAAAGTGCGGCGCTGCCCGGGATGTCCCTTGCCCTTGTGCCTGTCGCCGGAGCGCCTCAGAGCTTTGCCCTTGGCTCCATCAACGCCGCCAGCAACGAGTGGGAAGGCGTGTGGCATCGGGGATTCAGTATGGACGACGAGGGGTGGGAGAGGAACCAGATCCCGGAACCCACCGCGGGGGCGAAGGGCGAAAGGCGTGGCGAGGACACAGATTATGTCCCGGATGAGGAGCTAGAGGATGATGAGTCAGGGGATGATGGAGGGCGTGAGGGAAGGATGGGGAGGGGGAAGAAGAGTGGGAAGGGTTTAGGGGGGGGCGTGGGAGAGGGGCGGGCGTCGAGGGAGAGGCGGCAGACGCACAGCAGGCGCAGCAGAGGGGGAGGGCAGAGGGCAGCCGGGTGTGGTTGGGGGTGCTAGGGGGGGAGACGCCTTGAAGACGGGCGCTGGTGGTGGCTTGGGCGGTGGAGATAGGGGTAGCAAGAGAGGCGATCGCGGCAAGAGGAGGGGAAGAGCGCGGGGTGGGTCTGAAGGAGTGGCGTGCGTGGTGAAGCAGTGAGCGGGAAGGGACGGGAGGTAGAGGTCGGGGCGAGGGGGGAGGTTCCGCTGCGTGCTAGGGGTTGGACGCGGAGGGGGAACTGCAGGGCTGGTGGGGCGCGGAGCAAGCGCGCTAGAGGGGTGGATGAGGAGGAGGAGGAGGTCGAGGAGGTCGAGGAGGAGGCACTGGGGCAAGGACTCCAGGCCTCATGCAGGGTATGTTCTTGGAGACAGATGACCCACACAAGCGTTCTTGCAAGTGCTGCGAGGCCACTGTGTACTGGGCACGCAGCAGCACTGGTAGCGCATGGAAGCATGTTCGTCTTTATCACATGCCCCACCTCCAGATCTGGCGCCGTCTCTTCACAGACCCTAAGAAGAAGCCAGGACTGGAGTTTCCGCTTAAAGGGTACCCAGAGGTGCCGCACCAGAAGGAGCTTTGGCCACATGCTGCCAGCTGGCCGACGATTCCTGCTGGGGCTGCGGCGGCGCTAGCGGAGGCAGGGTCCGGGCAGACGAACCTCCACAAGTTTATGGCTGCCCGTTTGTCCTTGCAACGACTGCGGCAGGCGCTCGTCGAGCTCTTTGCCGACGCCGACCTGGCGTACCGTCTTGTCGAGCGCCCTTCGGTAAGCCCTTGTCTGCTTGGATTGGAGAGTTCGTAGAGCTTGCTGGCCTACACTTGTTGTGTTGTGGTCATTGTCTGCAAACCATCCAATGACAATCATTGCTGTCCTCTCCGCCTTTCCACACCCATCCCACTCACAGTTCCAGCGTTCTGCTCGCTGCTGAACCCACAAGTTGCCGGCATGCTCGGCAGTCGTTTTCGACTAGCGCGGGACATGTTGACGCATGGGAATGCTGCACGCGAGTGGCTGCAGCAGGAGGTGGTTGGAGACGGGGCAGCAGGGAAGGTTTCCTTCACGACTGACATCTGGACCAGCCCCAGCAAGCAAGCCTTCATGGCGGTCACCGGCCATTACATCACCTCGGACTTCAAGTTGCGCCAGGCAACGTTCGAGTTTGAGCAGCTGCATGGGTCCCACACAGGAGATCTCATTGCTGACGTGTTCGAGAAGGTACTCATCGACTGGCAGCTGCTAGACCAAGTCTTCGGCGTGACGACAGACAACGCCGAGAACAATGCCAAGGCCTTCAAGATCCTGGCGGGCGACAAGACATACCCGATGGCCCGCACCACCACCAATGCAATCCTACAGAAGAACATGCACTTCAGGTAATGTGTTAGAAAGAGAGCTCCCTGCATGCGCTTCCACTCTATCTCGTGCCTATTAATTGCGAACTTATGTCGTGCAAATATGACCCTGAGTGAACCCGTGATCGCTCGGCCCTTCTCCCCTCCTCCCCCCCATCCGCCACCGCCTGTCCCCCCATTCCCACAGGTGCCTTGCGCACATCTTGAACCTAGCGGTTCAACGGGCATTAGCAGTGGGGGCGGTCGCTGAGCCGCTGAAGCGTCTGAGGGACCTCGCAACGCATGTTGGGTGGTCTGTCACGCACTCGGAGCGTTTCGAAGAGGACCAACTTCGAGTTGCGGACGGCCCAGGCGTGGGGGTGCTGCGACTCATGACTGACACACCCACTCGTTGGGGCTCCACCTATGACATGCTGAGGCGTGCTATCGACCTCAAGACGCCCTCATGGTGTACTTGTCGTGGCCGGAGGTAAGCATGACATGGCGCATGGCATGGCATGGCGCATGTCATGGCATGGCACAGCCATGGCATGGCATGGCACATGACATGGCATGGCGCATGGCATGGCATGGCACATGGCATGGCACATGACATGGCATGGCATGGCATGGCATGGCGCATGGCATGGCATGGCACATGACATGGCATGGCATGGCATGGCGCATGGCATGGCATGGCACATGACATGGTATGGCGCATGGCATGGCATGGCACATGGCATGGCACATGGCATGGCATGGCGCATGGCATGGCATGGCGCATGGCATGGCATGGCGCATGGCATGGCATGGCATGGCACATGGCATGGCATGGCATGCATGGCATGGCCATGGCATGCATGGCATGCGCATGGCATGCATGGCACATGGCATGGCACATGCATGCACATGGCATGGCACATGGCATGGCATGGCATGACATGGCATGGCACATGGCACATGCATGGCACATGGCATGGCACATGTCATGGCATGGCACATGGCTCATGGCATGCCAAAAAGGCATGCCCTCACATCTCACTCCGTCCTTCCTCTCTATTTCCCCCCCCCCCTTTCCGTGTCCACCCCGCTGAACCCTCCAGCCCGGAAGCTCCTCCAAGAAGCAGGCAGAATCCCATAGCAAGTACCACCTGAGGGATGACCATTGGGAGACCCTTGTGGAGGTGGCAGCTTTTCTGAAGCCGTTCAACTCCCTCACCACAGCGGCTGAGGGATCGCTGTATCCAACAGCCGCCGCGGTAGTCCCTCAGTACAACCTGCTCATCGACAACCTCGAGACGATGTACCACAGCAATAAGACCACGCCTGTGATTAAAGACATGGCATGGGAGGCACTCGAGGTCCTGAAGAAGTACGAGTACGGGGTGGCGAAGGAGCTGGCAGTGGCCACCATGCTTGACCCCCGCTACAAGCACTACTTTAGGCTTCCGCGGTGGGAGGCAGAGAACGAGCAGCTGGCCACTGACACTGCAGGCACGGCCAGAGTGGTCCCTGTGCTGGACGAGGAGAGGGTGGCGAAGCTGGTTCGGAAGCGTCTCGGCAGGTACTTGGCTAAGCTGCAGGGCGTGGGGAGACAGAGGGGACGGAGGGGACCAGCAGACCTAAAGCGGTTCATGTCGAGTGTGGCGCCGGGGGCGAGGGCGGCAGTTCGGTTGGGGGAGGGGGGGATGATCTGGTGGACGAGCTCTTCGCCAGGATGGACAAGCAGGCGGCATCGGCGGGGGTCAAGGCACCCGATGAGCTGGAGAGGTACCTGGCGGAGCCCCGGCTTAAGGTTGGCTGCCCCCTAAAATTTTGGCACAACAGGGTAGACCTCCTTGGCCTACGGGCCATGGCTCGCGACTACTTGGCGATCCCGGTCACATCCGCTGCTAGCGAAAGAGCGTTTAGTCAGGGGCGAGGCATAGTGTCGTGGCAGCGCCACCGGTTGAGCGCCTCCCAGGTGCGTGCATCCATGACGATCAAGTCATGGATGACAGAGCACCAGGGTGAGCATCTCCTGGGGCCGGCAGCTGCACAGGCATTGAAGGAGCTTTGCATCGAGGGTGAGGACATTGGGTTGTGATGGCCTCATTTGGGAGAGGGGGATGATGGAGGTTTCATGGCTGGCTGAAATGGTTGGGCTGTGTGTCATTTGTGCAGCCCTAGACTTGCAACCTAAAGGCCAAACTTCAGTGTTAGACACGTCGTCCGTGCTCTTAGGCTGGCACCCGAGTCCTTATTTGGCGAACCCAGCACTGGAGCCAAGGGGTTGTCATGGCGTGGTTTTTAAACGCACTCTACTGGCATGCTAAGTTATGTTGCCAGCATTCATTAGGCATCTGAGCAAGCAAAAAACAGCACTCAAATAGCATGGGTGCTGTTATGAGTGAGTGAAATGCATTGCTCTAGTCACATAGCAGGCTAGCAAATGTGTTTTACAACGCACAACAACAAAATGCTACTTGTTCGGGCAGCACAATGAACAGAGCCACGTAGACACAGTCACCAAACACTATAAAAACCCACCTGGGTGACCCAAACCATAAAACAAGGTGACGGGTCCAAAAACCCGTTCCTGCCCTACTTTAACCCGACCCGACCCGACCCGACATCGGGTTTCTTTAAACCCGACCCTTCAAACCCGGGTCGGGTTGGTTTTTTCAGACCTAAAACCCGACTTGACCCGACCCGACCCGACCCGCACCCGACTTCGGGTGGGGCAAAGTCGGGTCGGTCGGGTCGGGTCGGGTCTATGCTCAAGCCTAGTCGAACCCGACACTGGTGGCGGCGGTTGCTGATGGACCTAGGGTAGTCACGGATGTGAGCGAGGCGCATGTCAAAGAGTTGGTGCGCTCTCGTCTCCACTCGTACCTTGACGAGCAGCGCCGCCGAGCCGTGGGCACAGGGCAGGAGGGCACGAGTGCAGGCGTGACGAGTGGGGAGGGGGAGAGTGGGCTGGGACAGGAGGGTGCCAGGAGGGAGGCCGCTGGGGGGCGCTTGACGGACTTGCTTGGCTCGCAGATGGACCTGATGGATGAGGAGGCGGATGTGCAGCAAGTGGATGAGGTGGAGAGGTATCTCGGTGAGCAGAGGTTGGCCATGGATAAGTGCCCTCTCACATGGTGGCGTTCGCGCACCTCGCTGCCGGGGCTGCAGGCCATGGCTCGCGATTACCTTGCCATCCCTGCAACCTCGGCACCGAGTGAGCGAGCGTTCAGCCAGGGCCGAAACATTGTCAGCTGGCAGCGTCATCGGTTAAGTCCTGCTCAGGTGCGCGCAACCATGACTATCAAGTCATGGATGACGCAGCACGCGGACGCCAAACTCCCCATGGCACATCACGATGGAGGGTCGGGGGAGGTGTGTATTGAGGGTGATGACGAAGGGCTGTGAGGGAGGAGGGGCATTGGTCACATTCCGGAATTGCTTAAACTCTCCTTGGTATACTCGCATTCTATGTGAGGGTGCACACTAGGGTTGAGCAAACTACCCGCCCGGGTCGGGTACCCGGTACCCGGACCCGCTTTTAGGGCGGGTCGGGTATCGGAAATCCTGAAAATTACCCGCCGGGTCGGGTCCGGGTTACCCGGGCCGGGTATCAATACCCGCTACCCGAAATGCTACCCGACGTGTCGGGTAACGGGTACCCGACCCGGTCGGGTAAAAAATTACCCGAGGTCGGGTATTCCACCTAGACATGGGCGTAAGTCGCGCTGTGTTTTAGGTTTTGTGGCAAAACAGTTTTGGAGGTGAGGGGGGACGAGTGGAGCCCTACCTAGCCTAGCCTACCTAGCCTAGCCCAACTTTAGGATGTCCACTAGTAGGTGGCGGGTTAAAATTACCCGCTTTTCAGGGGGTCCGGGTCGGGTATACCCGGACCCGCCAGGCGGGTATTATAATACCCGCCTAAAAAAACCGGGTCCGGGTAAGGGTCCTGGGCATATTACCCGACCCGGACCCGACCCGAAATTACCCGACCCGAGGTCGGGTATGGCAAAACCGGGTCGGGTCGGGTAATTACCCGGTTTTGCTCATGCCTAGTGCACACTCACCCGAGACCTCATGTTGACATGGTAGCTGCGTTTGTTGCATTGGCTAGTTTGCTAGTTCGCATGCTTCCTACCTCAAACGCTCTCCTGAAGCGAGCTACAAACACACTTGAACACTACTTGGTCGGGTGTCATGCATGATGGTAAAACATTTTGGTTTTGCAAAAAACACCCCTAGAGTAGAGACAAGTTCCAGACTTAAGGCAGTTATGTCCTGGATAACACGAGTAAAAGAATTGTTTCATTCCCAGATACCTCAACAATGCAGTCACAAGTGTTTGAGATGCATTCTCATCAGGTCATAGCATACAGTAGCCCTTCGTGCTGAATTTTATACTCACCTAGGGATAGTCGGGTAATATTACCCGACTTTAAATAAATGCGGGTCGGGTATACCCGACCCGACAGACGGGTACCCAATTACCCGGTATTAAATTGCCGGGTCGGGTAACAAATCTCCAAACATTACCCGGAAATTACCCGACCCGACCCGACCCGGACCCGATCGCGGGTAGGGCAAAACCGGGTCGGGTCGGATAATTACCCGGTTTTGCTCATGTCTAACAGCAGGGATGCAGTGCAGGCGTTACTGTAACGACACGCGTACACACAGACAGCTCACGTTGCTAAAGGCCACCAGCGCACCTTGCTGAGGTTGGAGATGATCTCTCGGCCCTCCACCCTGGCGTAGTAGTCCTCGTCAATGAGCAGCGGCTCGATGACCACCAGGATCTTGTGCACGAAGGGGCGCACCAGCTCGTCCAGCTTGTACAGGATGCGGTCGATCACCTGCATGCATGCATGCAGCGCATGGAGCACATGGAGGGGGCGGATGAAACACCGCAACGGAGTCACGTGCCAGTGGCATCGCGCTGACCTCACGACCGCACCAGCGCGTTGTACAGGATGAAGTCGATCCCCTAGAAGCAGAAAAGAGGAGAGAAACAGGCAAGTGGAGTCAAATGCATGCGGCGTTAAGTTGACCACAAAGGTCATCATGTTTGGGGCTACTCAAAAGCACAGTAACTGGGCGGAAACACTATGAAGAAGCTTCGCGTGGACACAAAGTTGAAGTCACCAGGTCGTCCAGCTTGTAGAGAAAAGCTGTTGATGTGGTGATGACCGTGCACCCAGAGCGGCTGGTTGGACACCAGGTGATGCAAGAACGAGTGGTGGTGACGTCAATGGACACAGGAAGTAGGACGGGACAGGGGAGGTGGGACGGGAGAGGTTACAAGCGGATATAGCAAGCAGGTGGGTGAGGACGTGTGTGTGAAGCAACGTCCTTGCAGCAGGGAGCGCCCTTCCATTGTATACATTTCACCGCGGCCGGCATGACTGAGCAGAGTGGCAGACCATTGACTGCCGCAAAAGAGTGGCATTGACCGGAGCAGCGGTGGCCCACCTTGACCAGCAGAGCAGCGGTGGCCCACCTTGACGAGCAGGTGGCGCTCCTGGTCCTCCAGCGTGGGCGACATGAGCAGCGGCAGGATCTGGTTGAAAAGAGCCGACGCGCCAAACTCCCTCGCCTTGTCCGTCAGCTGCCGCAGGGCCGTCTTGCGCTGGGGGGGCGTGCCATTCTTCACCTGCTCATCACAGAAGTGCAATGAGGTGCAGAGGGGTTCAGAGGAAAGATATGGGGGGGTTGGACATGGTAGCGCCAAACTACCTCGCCTTGTCTGTCAGCTGCTGCCATGGGGCCGTCTTGCGCTGTGGAGAGGTGCCATACTTCACCTGTTGGCGTGGTGCAGAGGGGTCGAGGGGTAAATCGAGTGAGGTAGGAAAAAAGGGGGGGTTGATTGAAGAGGTATGATTTGTGGAAATGAGCCGGCTAGCGGCTAGGACTGGACCCTGAGAAGAGCCAGGGGAACGGGGGAGAGTGAATAGATTTACAATGAATAGAGGCTTGAGCAGCAAGGGTGCTGCCACAACAAGACCAACTTGTTCCCTTTGCTTATGCCTCCTCCTCCCCTCCTTACCTCTTCAATTCCCTCCCCCCTCTCTCCTCAACTCTTCCAATCCTTTCTCTCCCCACCGCCTCGTACCTCCCCTCCAGTGTGCACCACCCACTTCACCCACTTCACCCACTTCACCCACTTCACCCACTTCACCCACTTCACCATCTTTCACCCACTTCACCATCTTTCACCCTCCCCACCCTCCCCACCCTCCCCCTATACTACATTCAGCTGGAGATTTTCCTCTCAGTCTTCTCCTGTGCTCTTGCCTTCTCCTTCTCATCCCCACCCCAACCTACCTTCCCTCCCCGTTCTCACTTAGCCTACCTTAGCTCCTCCCTCCCCATCGCTACCTCCCCTCCTCTTCCCCCCCCCCGCACCTTGAGCAGCAGCTTCATGATCTTGCGCTCGGTCTTCTCCTGCGCGCTCATCTTCTCCTCCTCCTCCTCGTTCAGCAGCGCGCCGAAGTACTGGTAGTCCTCGGGCTTCAGGTTCGGCAGCCCTGGCACCTCCTTGCCCACGTCGAACAGCTGCTGCCGATCCTCCTCTGGGATAGCATACAGTGGCGTCGCACCCCCTCCGGCGCCCCCCATAGGGGTGGGCGTCGCCAGGAGCTTCCTAGCGGGGGTGCGGATGGGGACGTATGCTGCAGGGGGTTCGAGCACCTTGTAGCCGTCCAGGGGGAACATGGCGTCCAGCTCCTCGTCCGACAGCGGCTTGTTCCGCTCCTCTATCTCCCGCTCCCACCGCAGCATGGTGAATTGCTCCGGGGTGAGCGGGCCCCTTAGTGCAATCTGCCCTGGGGTTGGAGTAGCCATGTCCATTGCTCCTACTGGTGTCACTCCAAACCCCCCAGGTGTGGCGCCCCCAGGTGTCACCCCCCCTGGGGTCATCCCAGAGGGCGTCATGCCCACAGCAGCAGACGGGGTGGCACCTCCCCCTGCCCCCGCCGGCGTAACACCTCCCCCGGCCGGTGTTTCGTCCCATCTGGACCGCGTTTTTTTCGGGGTGGGAGTGGCGCCGGCAGACAGCTTTGGCGTGGCGTCCCAAGTCATGCCGGCTGGCGTGGCTCCGCCACCCAGACCCGGGGTGGCGTCGCCGCCACCCGGAAGCGCGGATGGGGTGGCATCGTCCGGCAGGACTCCCCCGTGTGAGGGGGTTTCGTCCCAGCGGTTGCGGCGGGGGCCGGGCGTGGGGGTGGCGTCAACTGCACTGCCACGACCGGAGTAGGGGCGTCCCAGCGACTGCAGAAAGGGGTTAGGCGGGGAGGAGAAGGAATTGAAGTAGAGAAAAGGCAAGATGAAATGGGGCACCTCAAATCAAGGATGTAACGGCATGTTAACACTCTGGATGATGCCAGCTGTGGTAGAAAATGCCAGCAGAGTTGTGTACAGAGGAAACTGAGCAGCAAAGTACAAGAACCACCTGGCAGCACCAGCGGCAGCATCTCACCTGGCAGCACCAGGAGTGGCATCAGGAGCATCCCAATCCGCCGCCTTGGCCTTCCTGCACACAGCAGCAGCAATAAGAGACAGAAAAGAAGCAGAACAATATGAATGACAACGCCAAAGGCATACGCAGAGACTAAGCAGCAACGGCAGCCCAAAAACGAGCCACACATATCCGCTGGTCCTCTCACCCCCAACCCCAACCACCCCTCTCCCCCCGAACTCACTTGGCCTCCGCCTCAACAGCACCGGCCCCTCCCCCTCCTGCAACATCCCACCGATTCCTCCTCTTGCCACCGGCAGGCGCAGCAGCTGCCACTGCAGCAGCAGCAGGGGGAGCAGCAGCAGTGGCAGCAGGCACGCCCTGCGCCTTGGTGGGCGCGGATGAGAGCTCTGCCGCCTGCCTCTCGGCCTCCTCCGCCTTCTTCTTGGCGATCTGCCGTAGCGTCTCCTCCTTCTCGCGCTTCAGCGCCTCCTCCTTTATCACGTCCGCGTACGTGCGCACTGCCGCATCGGGCGTGGCGTCGCCCTGATGGAGGGGGGGTTGGGGGGGCCGAGGGCAGCGGGACAGACACATGCACTCATGCATCGGCGGATGACATCTGTGTGCTGCAGAGCCTCCGCCTTGATCACGTCCTCGTACATGCACACCACACCACTGCATCTGGGATGGTGTCTCCCTGATGGGGGGGGAGGGGTAGGGGTGAGCAACCGAGTCCAGTTTCTGACTCGACTCGTCAACTCGGCTTGCCTTTTGGCGAGTCGAGTTTTTTTTTTGGCTCTTCCGACTCGAACCGAGTCGAGTCGAGTCGAGTCGGTCGAGTCACGAGTCAAAGCTCGACTCGTCCAACATTTTCGGCCGAGTCGAGTCAAATTCCGACTCGGTCGAGTCGGAATTTGACTCGCGCGGAAACTCGCCCGACATTCGACGATGGATTGGGGTTTGGGGGGGGGGGAGGGGGAAGGGAGGGGGGGAGCGGGGGACATGCAAACATTTTGTCGACGAATTGTCCACTGGTTGGGGAGTTGGGGCAAAGGTGATTGAGGGAATCGGGGACTTCAAAAGAATTCGTGGACGAATCTGCTCAGCCTAGGTGGATCTGAATCTACTCGTAATACAGCAGCAGCACGCCAGCAGCAGGAACTAAAACTAGGCACCTAGCTCGTTTCTTCCTGCTGCTTGGTGCGCGTTTCTCACAGATCCGCCACAAGATTGTTGGGGCCTATCATGTCGACCTGGAACGCATATGGCTGCAGCCCCCACCCCCCCCTCTCCCCCCACCCCCCAAAACGAGTCGAGCTTTGACTCGACTCGACCCTGTTAACCTCTGACTCGGTCGAGTCAAGGGTGACTCGGCCCCCAAAACCCGAGTCACGGGTCTCAACCCTCAGCCTCCGACTCGGGTCTGACTCGGTTGTGACTCGACTTGATTTTGGCTTGACTCGGGTCTGACTCGGCCGTGACTCGACTCGACTCGGTCCATGCTCATGCCTAGGGAGGGGGGACATACACACGCATGCGCACTGACGTACGAGCGTTTACGCAGACATACATGCAGATGCCCACGCATGCAATCATGCACAGTCCGACCGAACACATGTGACACAGGCACCCACATGCACAGGCAGGCACAGTCAAGTGCACAGATACAGAGACCGAAAGCAAGCAGAGGCAACATGTGGTGTGGTGCTCCATCAACCCGCGAAACTATCCGGGCCGGGACAAATGCGGCACTCTGCGAAACGTCACAGCTGGAAGCAAGAAAGGAAACACGAATCTGGCTGCCTGACTTGCAGGATGCGCCAACAGACAACCAGCATTCTGCCCATAGCACGGCAACTGCGTACCATAGCAAAGGCATCGTGTCGGTCCGGCGATATGATCCGGTTGAGCCGGCGCCGGCGGTAATCGTCCTCCCTGTCGATGATGCGCGACGGCTTCTTGAACCCCGCCGCCTGGTGCGGACGGGTAAGACATGGGTGAGGGGGATGGGGAGAGCAAGGCCAGGGGGAGAAAGAATAGAGGATGCGATGCGGACATAAACACGAGGATATGATGCGCGACGGCTTCTTGAACCCCGCCGTCTGCCAGAGAGGTGGGGGGAAAGGGTGGTGAGAGTGGGTGGAGAGAGATGGGGGGAGAGGGTGGGGAGAGATGGGGGGAGAGGGTGGGGAGAGATGGGGGGAGAGGGTGGGGAGAGATGGGGGGAGAGGGTGGGAGAGATGGGGGGAGAGGGTGGGGAGAGATGGGGGGAGAGGGTGGGGAGAGATGGGGGGAGAGGGTGGGAGAGATGGGGGAGAGGGTGGGGAGAGATGGGGGGAGAGGGTGGGGAGAGATGGGGGGAGAGGGTGGGGAGAGATGGGGGGAGATGGTGGGGAGAGATGGGGGGAGAGGGTGGGAGAGATGGGGGGAGAGGGTGGGGAGAGATGGGGGAGAGGGTGGGGAGAGATGGGGGGAGAGGGTGGGGAGAGATGGGGGGAGAGGGTGGGGAGAGATGGGGGGAGAGGGTGGAGAGAGATGGGGGGAGAGGGTGGGGAGAGATGGGGGGAGAGGGTGGGGAGAGATGGGGGGAGAGGGTGGGAGAGATGGGGGGAGAGGGTGGGGAGAGATGGGGGGAGAGGGTGGGAGAGATGGGGGGAGATGGTGGGGAGAGATGGGGGGAGAGGGTGGGGAGAGATGGGGGGAGAGGGTGGGGAGAGATGGGGGAGAGGGTGGGGAGAGATGGGGGAGAGGGTGGGGAGAGATGGGGGGAGGGTGGGGAGAGGGGGGGAGAGGGTGGGGAGAGATGGGGGGAGAGGGTGGGAAGAGATGGGGGGAGAGGGTGGGGAGAGATGGGGGGAGAGGGTGGGAGTGGGGAAGATGGGGACCGAGAGGCGTGTGAGACAGTCGGATAGACGGTGCAACGGTGAACTACAGGCCGCAGGTGTCGTCCTCCCTGTGGATGAGGCGTGAGGGCTTCTTGGTTTCAGCAGTCTGGCAGAAAGACGGGGGGAGGGCTCAAACAGATGGTAGGGGGACTGGGAGAGAAGGTGGGCAGAGAGAGTGGGAAGATGGGGAGAGAGGGTTGGATTGGACGTGAACAAGGGGCAGCGGTAGATCGGTATTTCTTCCTCTGGTGAATGGTGGGAGATGGGGAGAGACAGTGGAGAACGAGCAACAAGGAGAATGATGGGCGTGTGTGACTACTTACTGAGGTTGACTCAAATAGAACTCAAACAGGTCGAGAAAGGGGAGAGCCGGACCAGAAAGCACACAAGTTGGAGGATTCATCGAGAGCAATGCCATCCGTGACTGTCAGCTCAACTGACAGCCTCATCTACATCCTGCCCTGTCACCCCCTCACCTCCGCATCCATTCCCTCACATATCTCCTCCTCGCGCTCCCTCTAATCCCTTCCACCTCTTCCCCCCCTCTCCCCCCCACCTGAACCCCCTTCCTCATTTCCCCTCCCCTCTCATCCTTCCGCCAAAGTCTCACCCTTCTCGCCTCGCATCTCATTACCCTCCTCTCTGTCGCTCGCTCACTCTCTCACCTTCCCCCTTCCCCATCCCCCCCCTCCCCTCGTCCCCCCGTCCCTCACCACGCATTCCCCCTCTCACCTCCCTTCCTCCCGTTTCCCTGTCCCCGCCCCCCCCTCACCTCTTCCTCCGCCTCGCCCCTGGGCAGCTCGTGCAAGAGCTCCTTGGGCGCCGTGTATGAAGCCAGCTTCCTGGTGGAGAGAGGGGGGTGGGGGAGGGCAAGTCGCGGAAGCGAATGCAGGTGGAAGGACGCACCGAGGGAGACCAGGATGCACAAGACGAGCAGACCGTAAGTCCGCTCACGATCCACTGCAGTGGCAGTCGCGTGACGTTGTATAGCGGCTGAACGAGTACCACCTTGACCTCATCCCAGGCGATCCGAGCGCATGAATTGGCGACATGAAAACAGGCGTCAAGAAAAGAGCCATGGGGCATAGCGTGCGCGCTCTTGCGAAATAGAACCACTCGGGAGATGAGAACGAGTTTACGATCCGCAATTGGAGGTGGCGGTGGAGAAGCGATACCGACGCACATAGAGTCAGGACGCGGATGAGCAGAACAAACCGGGAGCAATGAAACACGAAGAGAGGAAACGCAGAACAAGCGAGAGAATCCACTGTAAGCAACTCAAAAGTACTACAAACAAGTGGTTATTCATCATTCGCACCTGGCGACCTCGCGCTCCGTGGCGTCCTGCTCGTCCTCGTCCTCCATGACCGGGATGGACATCTCGTAGCCCTCGAAGCGGTCCTTGTCGCCCCCGCCGTACAGGTCCTTGTCGAAGCTCACCGATGCCAGCGCCGCCAGCTCCGCCTCCTTCGCGCGCCGCTCCTCTTGCATGCGCGCAATCTCGTCCTCCGTCGCGTCCATCGCGGCGAGGTTAGCGGTAAACGGGTACGCGGGGAGGTTAAGGGGTCAACGGGTTGTCGGGTGAAGGGCGGAGAGACTGGAGTTCGCAATGGAATGCTCGAATTCGATATTTTAGCGCCTCGCTGAGATGAGTTTGGAGTGGTGAAGCAGTGATTCGGGACCTGCCTTGCGACAACTGCGACGGAAACAGCAGCCTAAAAATACCTAATACCGTAACGCCGAAGATGTCATGGCCGTGGAAGACCTAAAATGCCCGAAGATTATTACTCAGTCGTGTGTTGCGTGGGAGGTGGAGAAAGGGGGGTGTCTGGCGACTTTGTCGAAGTGCAAGTTTGAAGTAACCGTTACATTTACACATTCTGTTTTGAATCAATCAGAGTAATAACAGGTAGTGTAATAACGTGATTCAAGAGTGTCGATACAAATGAGGGCCTAGACATTTATAGGCACGAACAGAGCTAGCCGAGAACCACGCGAACAGGTTGGGGCGGTCCGGTTGGCGAAAGCTACGGAAGCGTCGTGCGTCTAGGTTTGGGTTCGCAAAGTGATTCGGGACCGAAGAAGTTGGCCGAGCCTGGACTTCCGAGAGTCGAGGGCGTACGTGCTGTAGTTGAGCCCAGTAATGAAAATGGAATTTCCTTACACCACCCCCCCTTCCGGGATGAGACTACCCACATCCGGGACACGTCGTCGGTGTAAATAGTCCCAGACAACTTTGTTATCACCAAGCGTGGCTACGGAAACCCAGAGGTCGTCGTCACTTGTGCGATCGACCCAGCGTATAAGGAAATCGACGGCTGCTGTGTCTCGATGTCCCTGTACGCGATGAGCGAGAATCTTGGACAGCTCGATCGTTGGCTCGGGTACTGGGTTGACCGTATGATTAATGTGTTGACGGTCGACATTGGTCGCATTCAGGACGAACGGTCACAGGAGACTGCCGTGGAACGAATCATGAATTCGCCCGTCGGTCGGCAGTTGCACCTGAGCGGTAACTGGTGTCACCATGCGAATGATGCGGAAGGGGCCGCAAAATCTTGGTCGTAATTTATTTGGGAGGGGATTCCCAAATTCCTGGTGTCGAGCAGGACCAATTGCCCAGGGACAAGTGTTAAGTCTCGGCGTCGTCGGTCAACTTGCTGCTTAGCCCTCTGTTTGGCTTTTAGGATGGCATCGGCGGCTTTTTGCAGAGACTGCCGGAGATTTTTTACGAACTCATGAGACCTTGGTGCCGGATTTTCTATCGGTTGTGATAGAGGGGTTGTCGGATCTATCCCGTAATTAATGAAGAACAGGGACTGAGTAGTCGTGGCCGATGGGGCATTGTTGTACACAAACTCGATCAAGGGGAGGGCGTCTTCCCATTGGGCAGGGTCTGTGCATGTCGTGCAAATCAGCTGCTCCATCGTCTAATTGGTGCGCTTGGTCTGGCCGTCCGATTGCGGGTGGTACGCCGTGGACATATGCAGGTGTGTGCCGTACTGCTGCCAGGTTTTTGTCCAGAATTTGGACGTGAACCGTGGGTCACGATCGCTGATGATTGCCGATGGGATGCCGTGTAGTCGCACGATGTCCGTGAGGAACAGCTTCACTCTCTGCTCGGCAATAATTGTCGTCTTGCAGGCGACAAAATGGGCCATTTTGGTCAACCGGTCGACGACGACGAGGATCGCGTCGTTACCGCTTGAACTAGCTGGCAGGCCAGTGACGAAGTCCATCGTCACTTGTTACCAGGGTCGGCTGGGTGGTTCGAGTGGCTGCAGCAATCCAGGATGTTGAATTCGGGAAGACTTCATGCGTTGACTCGTGGTGCAGGAGGTGGCGTACTGCTGCACGTCTGTCGGTAGGTCAGGCCTGTAATAATTACGACTCAGTAATTTTGCGTTTTTGTCGATGCGGTAGTGACCCGAGAAATTCGAGTCATGTGCCTCCTAGATCAGTAATTCCCGTAGGGTACGGTAGGCGGGAACCCAAATCAAATTGGTACCGGACTTTAGATAATAGGCTCCTTGCTTGAGCGTCACTTGGGGATGACTGTTAGTGGTGAAGAATGGGTCAGTACTGTATTCGTGGGTGAGTAGGCCAATTAGCAGCGGATTAGCTTGGGTAATTAGGATTGCGGCGGTGTGGGCCAAGGGGCGGGTCAGTGCGTTGGCGATGTTGCTGACCCCTCGTTTGTAGGTGACTCTGTAATGGAAATTGGACTCGAGGTAGTCGAGCCAGCGAATCTGTCAGGGATTTAGTATCAGTTGGGCGCGAATGAACTGCAGCAACTTGTGGTCTATTCACACTGTTACGTCAGTACCCGTCAGGTCTGCGCCAGACTTTGAAAGCGTGAACGATGGCGAGTAACTCCTTGTCATGGACAGGATAGTTTTGCTCGGCCGGGTTCAGCTTTCGTGGCTCGTAGGCAATGGGTTGGAGGCTTCGCCGGAGTCTTGTAACAGTAATGCGCCCACGGCCAGATCGCTAGCGTCGGTGATGAGTTCAAACGGATGGTGAGGATGTGCAATCCGAAGAACCGGAGGGGTTGTCAGGAAAAGTTTGAGCTTTTCGAACGCAGCTTGCTGCTCTCCCCCCCTCTAAAAAAACATGCCCTTCTTCAGGAGATCCGTTAGAGGGGAAGTTACCCCCGCCATGTTCGGAATGAAACAGCGGACATAATTAACAACCCCCTGAAAACTCCGAAATTCACGAAGATTAGCCGGCGGCTTCCTGTCTTGGATTGTCACAAATTTTTGGGGTCGATTTTAACATCGTCGATGGAAATCACGTGATCCAAAAACTCAAGTTCGTGTTTTAAAAACTCGCACTTAGAGCCCTTGGTGATGAGTCGGTTCTACTGCAGGAGAGAGAATATGGCTTCCAAATCCTTTAAATGCTGCTCCCGGGTTGTGCTGTAGACGAGAATGCCATCGAGGTACATGATGGCGCACTTATTCAGAAGTGGCCGAAAAATCTCGTTCATGGTCAACTAGAATGTCGAAGGCGTGTTTGTTAAGCCGAAGGGCATGACCGTGCACTCGTAACTCCCGTACCGGGTCTGAAACGCCGTCTTGTAGTAGTCGGCTTCTTGCACGCAAAGTTGGTGGTAACCGCCACGCAGGTCAATCTTCGAGAAACAATTGGCTTCGCGAAGTTGGTCGATGAGGTCGTCGGCTCGTGGAATGGGGTAGCGAGACTTGATGGTAACCCGATTCAAGGCGCGGTAGTCGATACACATATGCAGACCGCCATCTTTCTTCGGTGTGAACAGGATCGGGGCTGCAAATGGTGATGTGCTGGGGTGGACAAAACTTTCTCGAACAGGTAGTCCAACTGGCGTCGAAGTTCATCTAACTTGGGCTGAGTCAGCCGCCATTGGGTCCTAACAGTAGGCTGTGCGCCGGGCTCGAGCTCGATTTTGTAGTCATGCGGCCACTGAGGTCGTCTGGAAAAATGTCGGCGTGCTTCCGAATCACTGTTGCCAAATCATCCGGTACAGCTGTGCAAAGTTGTCGATATCGGCCAGCGTGTCGACAGCCTTTGATGCGATCCATCGGACGGCATACAGTTGCGCTCCTTGGATCATCGCTCGCTTGATAGTCACTGTGCTGACCGTCGATGTGGTTGAGTCTTGACTGCTCCACTTGGGTAGTCGTCGCCACTCACCACTCCACTTGATGCGACAATCGCTCGTCCACCAGTCGATGCTCGGGTTGTATTCTCGCAGCCAATCGCGTCCCAGCAGCATGTCGCACCCGTCCAAAGTTGTCGCCAGCATCTTCGTCGTGAAACTGATTTTTTTGCCACAGGTGACTCAGACGTAAAGCATGCGCCCCCGAATCGCCAGTGGGGTGTCGTCAACCAGCCTCGCGTCGATTTCGAGCATGCAGTGTTCCAGCTGAAATCGGAATTTCTTCGCTTTTGTCACATCCATCAAACAGTGGCTTGCCCCACCAGTAATAAATGTTGTGATTCGGTTGTCGCCAATTCTTCCTTCAACCAGCACAGGGCGATCAACCGATTCACCCCCAACCGATCCAACCAATACGTCTTTCCCTTTTTGTTCCCCTCTGTTCTCCCCTCCCTTCTTCCCCCCTCCTTTCAAATCCCTCCATTTCACCCCATCGTTTTTCCTTCCTCTGTCTTCCCCCTCCGTTCTTTCCTTCCTCTGCTTCCCGCTTTGACTTCCGCTCTCCTTTCTTCCTCCATCCATTCTTCTCCCGTCGTTCTCTCCTTCCTTCTTTCCCCTGCCATTCTTGCCGTGTTTTCTCCATGGGTTCTTCCTCCCTATGCCTTCCCCCTCCCTTTCTTACCCCATCTGTTCTTCCATCTGCATCTGTTCTTCCTGCCTTTGTATTTCCTCCTCCGTTTTTCCTCCCTCCGTTTCCCACAAGTCTTCCCTCCCCCGTTCTCCCCATCTGTCCTTCCCCCCTCTGTTCTCCCCCCCTCAGTTCGTCTCCCCTCCATCATGCACCCGTTCTACCCCCTTCTGTGATCCCCATCCATTCTTCGCCCCTCTATTCTTCCCCCCCCCCTCTGTTCTTCCTCCCTCTTAATTCCCCCCTCAGACCTGCCCGCTCCCTTCTTCCAACATCCATTGCCCCTCTATGTTCTTCCTCCCTATGCTCTACCCTTTGTGATCATCTCCCCCCTGTCCTCTTTTCTCTATTCTTTCTCCACCCCCCTTTGTATTCCCTTCCCCCATCCTCTCCACTCACATTTCAGGGCGACACATTCCTTTGTTCTTACTCCCACTGTTTTTTCTCCCTCTGTTCATCCTCCCTCTATTCTTACTCCTCTTTTCTTACTCCCTCTTTCTTCCTCCCTCTGTTGTTCCTCCCTCTGTTCTTCTCCCTCTGTTATTCCTCCCTCTGTTCTTCCTCCCTCCGTTCTTACTCCCTCCCTTCTTACTCCCCTGTTCTTCCTCCCTCTGTTCTTCCTGCCTCTGTTCTTCCTCCCTCTGTTCTTCCTCCCTCTGTTCTTACTCACTCTGTTCTTACTCCCTCTGCTATTCCTCCTTCTGTTCTTCCTCCCTCTGTTCTTACTCCCTCTGTTCTTACTCCCTCTGTTCTTACTCCCCCAGTTCTTACTCCCTCTGTTATTACTCCCCTGTTCTTACTCCCTCTGTTCTTACTCCCCCTGTTCTTACCCCCCTGTTCTTCCTCCCCCTGTTCTTCCTCCCTCTGTTCTTCCTGCCTCTGTTCTTCCTCCCTCTGTTCTTACTCACTCTGTTCTTACTCCCTC